GAAACAGCTATGATCTTCTAGCAATGGTTCTCAATACAGTTCCTCATGTTGTGACCCAAAATTATTTTTGTTGCTACTTCATAACTGTAATGTTAATATCTGATATGCAGGATGGTCTTAGGTGACCCCTCTGAATGGGTCATTCGACCGCCAAAGGGGTCGCGACCCACAGGTTGAGAACCTCTGCTCTAAGGCCATCTGGGGAGATGGCTCGGGCTTTGGTCATAATTTCTGTTAAAATGTTTCCAAGGGGATACATTTCAGTCACCAGGAAATGATATTTCCCTTCAGTGTCAACTCCTTTTCTCTTTAAATGGGCTGCTTTTAGGTCTGTAAAATTCCCCACTGTAATTCACCTAATGCCTCATTGAACTCAACAGCAGGGGCCGTGAGGGGCAGCGAATGAAAGCACAGGCTGGAGCCAGACAGCCTGGGTCTACATCCTGGCTCTGCTTCTTCCTGCGTGACATTGGGCACATTAATTTCATTTCTGGCTCTTTTTTTTTTTTTTTTAAATTTGGGCATTTTTCAGAAGTAATCAAGTTAAAATGAGGTCATGCAACAGGTTCCAGTCCAGTATGATGGCTCTCCATAGATAAAGGGGAACTGGGATACACAGACCCGTGTGGAAGGAAGACGAGGTGATGAAACATGGGAAGAAGGTGGCCATCTGCAAGCCCATTAAATCCAAAGAACCTGCTTTTGGTATTTGCTGTGTAAAAGGCATGGTTTAGTACTCTGGTCTTTCTAGGATGGGGTTACAGGTTGCACTCTGTATCCCTGATATTCGTATGTTGAAGTTCTAACCCCGCAAACCTCAAAAGTGACCTTATTTGGAGATAGGAATTTTTCAGAAGTAATCAAGTTAAAATGAGGTCATGCAGCAGGTTCCAATCCAGTATGATGGCTCTCCATAGATAAAGGGGAACACAGACACATGTGGAAGGAAGACGAGGTGAAACATGGGAAGAAGGTGGCCATCTGCAAGCCAGGGAGAGAGGCCTGAAACAGATCCTCACAGCCCCTGGAAGGAAGCAGCCCTACTGACACCTTGATTTTGGACGTCTAGCCTCCAGAACTGAGAGAGGAAATTTCTGCTTTTAAGCCACCTTAAAAGTAATAGTACTTTGTTATGACAACTTTAGGAAATTAAACCAGAGGGTCATGACACACACCGCTGTCTGCTAGGAGGGATGTACTATTCCATAGTGCTCTGGTTGCAGGCAACAGAAATTAACTAAATCTCGCTTAAGCAAATAATAAAACAAAGATGAACTTATAATGATACAAAGGCATCTCATAAAATCCAAGGGCAGGATTGCAGCTGGCAAATAATGTCGACAGTACTCTCCATCTCACCCTGGCTGGGGGCTCTGTTGGTTGGAGCATCATTCAGTGCATCAAAAGGTTGTGGGTTAGATTCCCTGTCAGGGTGCATACTAAGTTGCAGGTTTGATCCCCAGTCAGAGCATTAATGGGAGGCAAGTGATCAGTGTTCCTCTCCCTCCCCTCTCCTCTCCTCTCCGCCTTTGGCCCTCTCCCCCTCCACCCTGTTTATTTTTGTGCTTCTCTAATCCAGATGGCAGAAAACATGGTCCCCATTTGCACTTGGGTTTGCGTATTAAAGATACAGCCCCCCCCAGAAAGGAACTGCATGGGTCTCTCAGCAGATTCTAATTCTAAGGGAAGGGCATCATATTCCCAGCCTGGGTCAGGCGCCAGCGCCACCAGTGGGGACCAGGGGACCCGTATTTCAGTGCACAGACATGGTCCTCCTACTGTAACCACATGGATGGAGTGAGGGGAGGGACCACGACCTAAAAAGGGAACCGATGGCAGGTAACCTGAGGAGGGCTCCCTTAACAGTGCTGCGTGCTCACCTAGCTGCAGCGTCCACCACAGCCTTGCAGGAAGCTGCAGAAGGCTCAGGGAGAGGTCATGCTGACAGCACTTGGCCTCATCTAGTCCTGAAGCTAGAGTTGCTGCTTTCACCTTCAAGCAGGTAGAAATTAGTCATGGTTGAAAGCATGGGTCTTTAAAAAATGTGTGTGTGTGTGTGTGTGTGTGTGTGATAGCCTCAAAGAGGAGGATTACTTTGTTGTTAGTAGATATGGGAGTTTTTATTAAGTATTTTTATTTCTTCATTTACATTTTTTCCTTACTGGGAATGGAACCATGACCTTCTGGTTCATAGGTTGATGCTCAACCACGGAGCCACACTGGCTGGGCGAGAAAGCACGGTTCTTTGAATCAGAGACACATGGTTCCAATCCAACTTTGCCTTTTATTAATTATGTAACCTTGGCCATGTCCCCAAGCCTCTCGGCACCTCAGCTTCCTCATCTTTCAACACGGGAAGTAAATAATACTGCCAACTTCCTAAGTTTCAAGTGAGCTATAAATGGGTCTGTGGCAACATATAAGTGCCCAATAAATGTTAGCCGTTCTTAGCATTATTCACATCTGCTGAATCCTTCTTTGTTTTGCTTTCTCCTTCAGGCTGAATTCTCAGAGTTGAACCTCGCTGCCTATGTTACTGGGGGCTGCATGGTGGACATGCAGGTCGTGAGAAATGGTACCAAGGTGGTGAGGTAAGGAGGACTGAGACTCAGGGCCCCTTCACCTGCGGGGGAGTCCTCACGGAGCCAACCCCTCCATCCAGTGGCTAGGCCTTACTTCTGAGCTGTGTGCTTTCACATGTAGAATGTCTGCTCTCCGAGTGTCAGGCGTTGTTGCCATAGAAATGACGAGTGGCACGAACACTATGGGGCATTAACTGGGTGCCCTGGCATGAGCCATGGGCTTGGGGAGAAAGGCTGTGTTCTATCCCTGGCTTTGTGGCTCTGTTTGGGTGTGTTTCCCCGTCTCTTACCCCCTGATTCTCGGCGGCGGCATGACGATAGCAGCACTGAAGTAGGAGGCACGTCTGTGAGAGCATCCTAGTCTAAAGTGCAGCACAGATTTGACGGCTTATTTTAATGAGCTACGTCCTGCTTCCAGCAGTATGGCAGACAGCATGCCCCTCCCAGGACATCAAACCTAAAAGTGCGGGATCTGATGTTTTCCAAGAAATCCGTGTATAACGTATGCTGAGCTGGAGGGGGAGCTAGGGGATTCTTGAGAAGCCCAGAAATGTCAAGAACGTGGAAATGCACAGCAGAGAGGAATGGTTGTGCTAATAGAGTCCCATCTAGCGAAGTACCCAGAGGGTGGTGCACACTAAGTCTTGTGAGGGTTTCGATGGGGAAGAAATAGGACTCAGATTTGGGGAAGTGGAGAAAACAGGAAGAACGTGGAGGAAAATGTGGCATTTATTCTGAGCCTTATCAGATCGTGGGATGGGGAGTTCTATGCATTCCACGGGTAGGTGCCGGGAGCCGGTCCATCCTTGCTATTTCAAGGGACCTGGCATATATGGCATACTGTTCTTAATATGTTTGCTCACCTTCTTGGCACTATGTGTTTTAACCAAGGTCACCTCTCCAGGAAAGGTTGTTTCCCCAGGTAGGGATTTTCCCCTGAAGTTAGGGAGGGAATAAAACCTCTTAACCCCTTCCCCAGCAGAA